TTTCACATTATGGAATTCAGTATTTTAGATTTTCTTTTCATTGCTGAGACTTCTCATGTGTTTATCCATACTTTCTGTCTGTTGCTATAACTTCTTGCACGTATTTAGTTAGTTGCTTTGACATCTATGTTTGCTTATCTATGAGCTGGAGGCTTTTGATTCTTTTTCTTGATTTTGGTGTTTCTGTTGTTGTTGTTGTTGTTGTTTATTCCAAAGGCAGAATTACAGAAAGAGGGAGGGATTGTTATAGGGAGAGACTTTGTGATCTGACCTATTCAGTGCCCAAATGAGCCAGGTTGAAGCCAGGATCCTGGAAATCCATCTGGGCCTCCCATGTGGGTGAAAGGAGCCCAAGTGTCTTGGCCATCTTCTCCTGCCAAGCGTGGTGCATTAGTAGGGAGCTGGATAGGAAATGGAGCAGCTAGGACTGGTGTTCAGCTGGGATGCTGTGAATGGAAAGCTCAACAGCTGAACCTGATGTGCCACAATGCCAGCCTGTCACGATTCTTTCATTCTGTATCAGGCACTATGTATGAAAGAATGAAAAAAATCAGAGCAAACCACTTTATTTTGTTTTCTCAGAGTATGCAAATCTTTTTGTGTGTGTCTAATGGCAAAAGCAAAAAAAAAATGTTTCAAATTATATCAGTCGTAAATGATTGGAATGAGTTGAGTTACATCTTCAAGAATACTGTAATTTCTGGTTAATACATTCAGTTCTGTGGCTGCAGCTGCTGTTACCAACTGCCACTGTGTGCAGTAGCTATGCTTCGCTTAATCAGAACTTGAATGTGGAGTCAGGCGAGTGTTCAGTTGAGACATCCCTTTTGTGTTTACTGATTCTTGTTACAATAAGCATAGCTCTTAAGCATTTTTCCAATGTGTAACTTATTTCTGTGTTTAGATCTCAAATTTATTGCATTTGTCTCAGCAAAAGTGGAAAGATATGAGATCAGAAAAGTTGTTTTGCCAAAGAAATATTTGCTACACGTAGGTTATGTTAGATTTGCATATTCCTGGCTACTTCACACAATTGTCAATGTGTCTTCATACCAATTCTTACATGGATAGTTTGTGTATCTTTAGAGGATTTGTCTGGACCTGGAACTAGTGTTCTCAGAGGGTGTTTAAAGAACCTGTGAGGGTCTCTGTGAAATGTCAGTTCAAAACTTCCTTGCATCTACTACTGTTAGACAATGGTATTGCTGGGTATGGTTTTTGTATTCTCTAAACTTCCTTGCTGTTCTCACAAAAATAAAACACTTAACCATGTACATCAAAACCAATGGCAGGACTTGAATTGTATATTGACTTCCCAGCGGTATTTTCTGAAGTCTTTGGCCCTTAGTATGAAGGAATAAAAAGTTACTTAAATCTGGTTCTAATTTTGAGTAGATATATCCAATGGGTTTGTGTTGCCAAAACCGAAGCGTGGTTTTTCCTACTTAAAAAGATTTGAACATTCTAATGTGAAACAGCAAGCTTGAGACCACAAATGATAGTGTAGCAGATAGAAACTATAAACTGTTTATGAGTGAAATGCGTTGTTATGTGTACAGCAAGAGAGAAGAAAAATTAGCTTTGGAGAGAAAAAAAAAGTCATTAAAATTTTAACTTAGAGATAGTACATTTGCACTTAGTTTAGGGACCAAGGAACTTAGTGTAGGAGCCAAGGGTAAATTTTGTAAGTATTGTAGACCCATGAAAGTTTGCCAGTATTTTAGAGAAGAAATCTTAAACTATGATTCTCTGTCTACATCAGAATATAAAGAATATATGGATCTCACTTTTGCTGAGTTAAAAATGTGCACTAGTAAACCAAATGTACTTCTAGATTTAGTAGGTAGTATATATGTTAAATATTTTACCATTTACAATGATAGTATGCTTGTGGTAACAATTAGTATAATAGCACGAAGTGGAAAATTTTAAAAAGGCCAAAGTAATGATCGCCCATTCTTGTGAACTATTTAATGCTGGCAATTTTATGGGTATTTTTGAATGCCTATCTGTTTATACTTATATAGCAAGTGTTTAATAGAAAGCTCGGGGTTTAGGCCTGCCAGCAGGCCCTGAGGTCACCGAGGGTGAGGCAGATGGTGACCTTCGGCCGCAGGAACCACTGGAGCCAAGCTGTTGAGGAATGTCTGCTTTTTACACACAGGTTACAGGTTTTAAAGGGTACGGAAGGGGAGGGCAGAAGGGAGTCTTCCAGCAGACCCCACACCCACCAAAGGCACTGTAATTGGCTGTATGACACGTCTGTCTCCTTAGATCTTCCAGTCATGTCAGAGGTCATGTTCCAAGTGTACTTTCCTTGATCTTCTAAAAATTTTGGAAGTCACACTCCACATGTAGGCCTGAAAGCTGTGCCTCAGAACATGGGAAAGGTTAGGCTTAAGCCACACACTCCAGGCAGCAGGGAAGGGGCCTGTAGCGATTGCCCGCTTAGAAAGAGGGTTAGCCTGCTCCATTCAAAAAAGTGAAGTTTTGGCCCAGCGTGGTAGCCTAGTGGCTAGAGTCTTTGCCTTGCATGCACCACAATCCCATATGGCCAGTGGTTCTAATCCAGGCAGCCCTGCTTCCCATCCAGCTCCCTGCTTGTGGCCTTGGAAAATAGTCAAGGATGGCCCAAAGCCTTGAGACCCTGCATCCACATGGGAGACCTGGAAGAAGCGCCTGGCTCCTGGCTTTGGAATGGTGCAGCTCTGGCCGCTTGCTTGGGGAGTAGTGAATCATTGGACATAAGATATTCCTCTTTATCTCTCCTCCTCTCTGTATATCTGACTTTCCAATAAAAATAAAGTAAATCTTAAAATAAAGTGAAGGCATTATTACACATATTTCCTTGCAGCATTGTAGTGTGGAAACCTGTGCAATTCGGAGCTAGCTCTAAGGCATCCATAATTTCATTGTTACTGCTTTCTTTCCCCCCATTTGTCTCCTTTTTTTACCTTCCATAAATCCTGATTGTAGTATCCACAGAATCTATATTAATACTATGGCAAACAGCTATCTGTACTTTGTTCCCATGTAGCTCAATGCTCCCATATAAGCATATAGTTTCCTAATTTTTGATATATAAGTACAAATGTGCTATGATTTTTAAATTTTTATATTTTTATAATGTCACAGTAGAAATCACTCAAAACTATTTCTTAATTGTATGTTTCTGTCTTATTCAGTATTTTCTTGGGAAAAACACTGCATATTCATATTTACAACTGTACTTAATGATTTTAATGACCTCATATTTCATAGTTTGAGTCTGTATGTTATTTGTTCTATTGACTTGCAATTATTTTATGTATTTGCAACTATAAACAATTATGTAATATACATCCTTGTGTGTATGTTTTTAGGTACTGGAAGTTTGAGTTCTATTGGAAAGAATTCTAGGAATAGGAATGCTAAACTTGTGTAAAGTAATTGTAACAGATGTTGCCATATTCCATTTCAAAAAGCAACTGCAGCAAGTTACACAGACTGAACCACAATGTAAACTGCTTCACATACCAGCCAATTAAAGATGTTATGATGTTATTGTTCATTCTCAAACTTTTGTCATTTTGGAGCATGCAAAATGACTGCTTATAGCTATTTCATTACATACTTTCATGACTTTTAGGTAAATTGAGAATTTTTGAAATATCTTGGTTATCTTTTGATGTTTTTTCTTGTGTGAATTACCAATTTATAGAATTGATCCTTTTTCTTTTTTTTTAAGATTTGTTTTTATTAGAAAGTCAGACTCACAGAAAGAAGGAAAGACAGAGACAAAGATCTTCCATCTGCTGGTACACTCCCCAAATGGCTGCAACTGCCAGAGCTGGGGCAATCTGAAGCCAGGAGCCAGGCGCTTTCTCTGGGTCTCCCACATGGATGCAGGGTCCCAAGGCTTTGGGTCATACCTGACTGCTTTCCAAGGCCACAAACAGGGAGCTGGATGGGAAGTGGAGCATCCAGTATTAGAACTGGCACCCAGAAGAGGTCCCAGTTTATGTAAGGCGAGGATTTTAGCTGCTAGGATGTTGTGCTGGACCCTATTTTTCAACTGTTTTTCCCTGTCAATTCTAGTAATTTTTTGGGTGTTCTTTTAATTTCTTTTCTTTATTTGATAGGCAAAGAGAGAAAAAGAAAGAGAAAAAGCAAATTCTCTTTTCTGCTGATCTGTCTTGCCTCACCCCCAAACACCCATAAGATCTTTGGCCAAAGCCAGAAGGGAATATCTCATTGTAGGTCTCCCATTGGCATGTTATGGAACCTACTACTTGATTAATCACCACTGCCTCCCAAAATTGTCTTAGCAAAGTAATTATAAGCATAGACGGGACTCAAGCCTAAGGTACTCCAATATGGGGTATGGGTTCCCCAAGTGGCATCTTTATCATTGTGCCAATTTCTATCACCTATTAAGAACTATGAATTGTGACACCCCCCCCCCCAAAAAAAAACCCATGCACTTTTGGTCGTGTTTGAGTTTGTAGCTTGGAAAACAACACTAAGATAAAGTATTATACATATAAACATATACAACATATGAATCTGACTAGTATTACTTGATTTTGCTTCTATTTTCCATTATAATGCTCAGTTAATTTCTTTTTCATTCTCAAATTTCCTAGTATGTTATTGCTATTGTATATAGTGAATATTTGAAGAAATAAGAGGTTTTGAAATGATACTGAGAGACTTTCTGAAGTTTGTGAATGAGTAGTATATAAATTTGTATAAATTAAATATCTTTACACAATCATAAATTTATATTTATTTCATTTTTCCTTGAATTTTTATAAGTCCCTTTTATAAAAATATGTAAAAATACATATAAAGCACATTTGCATGTGTTTGTGTGTATACATATATGTATATAAACATGTAGACATATACATTCATATAGACACAAAAATAACATACATACCCATCTATACATATTTATATATATATATTTTTTTTTTGCAAACCTGGTGAGTTGAACTAAACTCTAAGAAATAGGGTGCATACTTACCTGGCATGGGAGATGCCATGATCACAAAAATGCTTTTCCCAGGGCGAGACTCATCCTTTGCACTCCGAGTGTGCTGACATCTGCAATTTCCTTAAATGTGGGAAACTGAACTACATAATTCATGGTGGTAGGGGGCAGCATTTGCACTCTCCCCTGAGTAAAAAGTAAAAAGCAAACAAACAAACAAAAAAAGAAAAAAAAAAACCAAAACAGGATGTTAGCTTTCAGTTTAAGCTTAGGGAAAAAAATAAACATGCTTTTCACACACGATTTTTGGACAGATTTGAATTAATTATTTTAGGCCTTCAGTTTCACAGCTACATTTTATGCATTCAACATTATAAAATTAAGTTCTTCATAAATCTAGAGTGTTGGTAGAGGTATGGTAGGAATGATGAAAGCAGCTTTGAATGCAGGTACATGGCATTTGGAAATTCTGTAGATTAACTGGTTAGGATTATTGGCTTTGGAATGTTATATAGTTCTAAATCACTGGTCTTGGGAACATTACTCCTCTGAGTCTTGCTTTATTTAAGGTTTGTTCATGTATCTATTTGAGTGGCAGAACAACAAAGAAAGCACTAGAGGTACATTTCCCAAATGATCACAGTAGGATGGACTGGGCCAGGTGTGAAGCCGGAAGCCAGAAACACCATCCTGGTCTCTCACATGGGGCCCAAGTACTTAGGTTATCTTCTGCCACCTTTCCAGGTTTCTTTGGCAGGGAACAGGATTACAACTAGAGCAAGTAGACTGAACTGACACTCTAGAAGTGAATGCCATTGCTGCAGGTGAGTGGCTAAAACCAGTGTGCCGTAACAGTGGCCCAGGGCTGGGTGTGTTTGAAACCAGGAACCAGGGGCAAGAAGCTTGTTTTGAATCTTCCTTGTGGGTGTTGGGGCCCAAAATGCTTCCCCAAGCATATTGACAAGGATCTGGATCACAAGTTTTGCAGCCATGACTCAATACTACACCAATATGGAATGCCAACACTGTAGGTATAGGCTTCACTCCCTCTACACTACAGTGCTAAACCAACTGTGTGTGTTTAATAAGACTATAATAGTAGGGGACAATTGGTGTGGCCTAATGTTTTATAAGAAACATGGAACTGCTCTTGTTAATTGCTGCAGGCAGTTTGTGAAAAATAACAGCATGGCTTGATTAGAAAAAAAAAATCAGGGCAGAGTGTGTCAGGAGTCTTGAGTTCACGAACTGCTGGTGCCAAAGACCAAGGTTAAACTCCGTAGGCAAATGGGCAAAAGTTTGAGACCAAGGCCGAGACCCGTGGGTGAGAGTCCACAGTTGGGCACTGGTGCAAGACCACAGGTCTGTGTACTTTAAGATATCCTTAAGCCAGACATTACTGATTTTTGTATTTGGGTCGCATCATTGCTTCTTGATCAAGAATTGGCTGGTTGACAATATGAAATGTACCTATAAATAGCTAGTACACATCAAACTCTGTGCTTTGTGTCCACAAGCAATTCGATAATATATTGAGGCAGTGAGCCTTAGGTCAACCTCCTTCCTCAGAGAAAGGGGCTTCCCTCTCTGGTCACCTACCAGTCTTTGCTTGGTCTGTCACATTTCTTCTTTTTTACTTCTTATTTTGCATTATACAGTTTTGTAGGTATAGAGTTTCTCCGCTTTCCTCCCTCCTCCTGTGCCCCGCTCCTTGTTTTACAATAGCATGGTCCTTCAGCTATAGTCTTGACTCCAGCATCTGCTCTTTACCTGTGTCGTAAAAATGTAGGTATAAGCAATGGTAAAGAGTCTAGTATTTTGTTGTCAAGGTATTTTTAACAATTTTATTGATGGCCTACTTTTATTTGGGTGTAGAGATGCATACCATGGTTCTTTGATTCCTGGTACTCTGTTCTACATTATTTTCTTAATTAAGGTCACTCTCTCTCCAACATTGTTCATGCAGTGTATAATGCTCTTAGCTGCAGTATACTGATGAATGATGAATAATAAGAGTGATGAATAATAGGATTATTTGTACAAAGAGGGTTCTTTGGTACTCACTATGATCTTTGAATTTCTATGGTAAAGTGTTTGTGGAGCCATGCAGTAAGCTTAGTCAAAAGAAGGTCAAATAACAGTCCTACTCACAGGTTTCTTAGATATGGAAGCAGGCACTTAAATACCGGACAACCCATCTGAGACTACAGAGATTGGTATTTTTATGCAGATCCTGTTCATCTGTTTGAGAGCATTCCTGAATATTATGACCTAAGATAAATCTGTTTTATAATTCTGTTAGAATTAAACAGTTAATATTGCAAAAAAAAAAAAAGAAACAGGACTGCAAGTTCTGCATTTTATTAGACCAAAAAAAAGTCCTTTTCCTGATAATTTTATATAAAAACGTGCTGCTACTGAGGAATAGGAAAGATGGCGAGGTCTTTTTTGACTATATGTCTTGATTCAAGCTGACTGAGAATAGCTCTTATCCTGATGAGCGAAACACACTTTTATTTTTTTTTAAAGATGGGCAGGGAAGATTTCACAGGCTTCATAGGATTCTGATTGTTCTGTCCCAAGCAATCACAGGGGCAAATGTAAGAGCCCTGGAAATACGGTATGGAAAGAAATGCTCTGTTCTATGAAGCACTGCACTCCCAGATCTCTTTTTAGTGGAAAGAAATAATGTTTTAAAAAAAGAACAACGGGAATTTGAATATAATCCTGTATTTTAACATAGACACAGAATTCTTTTTTAAAAATTTCATTTGATTTATTTGTTTTTTTTTTTATTACATTGCATTATGTGTCACAGTTTTTTAGGCACTGGGATTCCCCCTACTCCTCCCACAGCCCTCCCCCATGGTGGATTCCTCCCCCTTGCTACATTGCCACAGTCCAAGTTCAGTTGAGGCTCTTTCATTGCAAGCATATACCAAGCATAGAGTCCAGCATCTTATTGTCCAGATAAGTTCAACGGCTTCTTGTGGAGACCTTCTCTGGTCTGAAGGTAGAGCCGGCAGAGTGTCATCCCGACCAATCAAAAGCCCCAACGTAACATCCGCAACAATCCACAACATCATGGAATTAGTGGACATAGTATTGAGTAACCAATATGTTAAAAAAATTACATTTTACACATAGTATTTTTCATACTGACATCATTTCATCTTAAATTAAGGCAAACATGTGGCAGTTCTTTGTGGCTAAATGGGCCCAACTGAGACAGAATTCTTACCAGTGTGCAATCTTGCTCTGACCTAGTAGGAACCCCAGAAATACTGGTGCCCAGCATGGTAGCCTTGCTGCTAAAGTCCTCACCTCGCATATACCACAATCCCATATGGCTGCCGGTGCTAATCCTGGTGGCCCTGCTTCCCATCCAGCTCCCTGCTTGTGGCCTGGAAAAACAATCAAGGACAGCACAATGCCTTGGGACCATGTACTTGCATGGGAGACTTGGAAGAGGCTCCAGTCTCCTGGCTTCAGATCAGTGCAGCTCTGGCCATTGCAGCTGCTTGGGGAGTGAATCTTTGAATGGAAGATCTTCCTATCTGTCTCCCTTCCTCTTTGTATATTTGACTTTCCAATAAAAATAACACAAATCTTATATAAAAAAGGAACCCTGGAAATACTAATAAAATTTCTTTCCATTTGAATATGAGTGAGTTGCAAATATACTGCATTGGAAAAGCAGAGTGATGGGCAAGATTGAAACACACACAAAAAATGAGAGCTAGATAGGGAAAAGTCAGCAAAAGACTGGTCAGTGATGGACTTTGATAAAACACACCGATAGGAATGACTACAGCTTAATGAAACAATCTTGGACTCATGATTGAACAATAGCAGCTCCAAAAGGTTTGATAAAAGCACCAATGTAGAAGGAACATAAGTATCAGGAGCCAGGGAACATTTGTAAAACGAAAACAATCACAGAGATACAGCTATGACTGGCAGGGACAAGGAAAATGTACTAAAGATAATGAATGAGAAAACTGAGAAAAATGAGCGAAAAAGGAGTGGAGTTGAACAAATAGTTTTAAGGACATGGAAATGAGTTAGTACTTGTAGAAGGAAAATATCCTATACTAAGTACTTAGTGTCCTGAATAAGTAAACCAAATAACTGGAAGGGAAAGCGAAGATTTAATGATGTTGTTTAAGGAGAATTTTCAACAATAAATGAATAGTTGACTTCATAGATCAAGTGATATAATTTGGCCAAGGGAAAATTTGCAGAATGATTAACAATGAGCCAGGGCTAAGAGATGATTTTGCTCAATATAAAAATCTTAGTGTCCAAGGAAACCGTGGCTCTGGTTTGGAAGTACAATAAGAATACCAGCTGGTCTTTTGAAAAAGCACACACCACACAGAATGTGGAGCAATGCCCTTAAACTGATTAGAAAATATGCACATAAGACATTACACGCAGTCTAGCTAGCTTTCAGCTCTAAACAGTCTTATGTATGTAGGTTTCACATATTCACGACTAAAAGGATGTCAGTTCCTGGATCATTTTTGAAGAAAATGTTCCTCAACCTTGAAAAGACAATTGAATGAACAAGGTGAAAGCCTCAATGTTCAACGCTATTTTCATTTTGTTGTGTTGTGTACCCATTTAACTGAAAAGCAGAGTAACAGAAAAGAAGAGCCATAAGCAAGGAGGAAAAATCTTCCATCTATAGATAGCCACCCTAAATGGCCACACAGACAGCATTGGTCTAGGTTTAAACCAGGAGTTTCATCAGAGTCTCCAAAATGGATGCAGCATCCTAAACACTTGGGCCATCTTCCACTGCTTTCCCAGGTGCATTAGAGGGCTCTGGATCGGAAGTGACATTCCTGGGAACCCAACCTTTGCCCATATGGGATGCTGGTGCTACAGGTGGTGACCTAGCTCGCTGTACCACGGGGCTGGTCTAGTGCTAAATCTGCCTATTTCCTGAAATGGAAATCATGGAAACAGATGTGGGAAATGTTCTTCTTGAATAGAATGTACATATTTTTCATGATTAAAGTATAAAAAAGTATACGGATGGGTTATAAACACTGATTTGTTTGATTTTTGTAGCCAGTAAGTGAAAGGTATAATCGATGCATCAAGTAGTCAAGCAGCAAATGTGCTGAGAGGTACAAAGTAAATATTAGCACTGCTTGTGAAATAGCCTAAGGACAAATAAT